AGGAGAATAACACTTTTTTATTTTACACTCTCATGTATATATATATATATATATATATATATATATATATATATATATATATATATATATAAATATACATGAGACTGTAAAATAAAAAATTGTAATTAACTTCTTGAAAAACTTCTTAAAAACACTCGATTCAATTCGCTATTAACAAAAAAATTTATTATTATATCGTTGGAGATCTTGGACGTTTGGTAGTAAACCACGTTCCACAGGCTCATCTTATTTAACCCTTATTAACTTGTTTTTCTGCTCTTTAATGAAGTGGAAAAAAATGTATACGCCTATATATCACTTAACAACGTTGAGATACAAGTCGTGATCGCTTCTAACTGCACATGGAGAAATAATAAAAAAAAAAAAAAAAAAAAAAAAAAAAAAAAAAAAAAAACAAATCAAATAAACAGGAAGCTGCCAGAGATTGTCCCTTTCGCAACTTGAACGATGATAACCAGAGGAAGCGCTTTATTTGCATTCATGTTTTTTTATTTTTTTTTCTTAATTATTTTTATTTATTTAGATATTCGTTTTTTTTTATATTAAACACGCGACGCTATGCACGTTTCTTTTCCGTTCATCAGAACATCGCTTCTTTTATCACGGTCTTTACATCGTGTATACGCGCGTGGTTACATGCATTCGAAGCTAATTCAGAAACGATTATTTATAAGAACAAAATAAAACAGTTTTGCTACATTAATAGAATCGGATCAAGAACTGTCGCTGTAAATTGATTTACAATCGTTATTTTAATTGCTGTTTTACTATAATAATCTATAATAATAATCTATAATAATAATATTAATAATAATAATAATAATAATAATAATAATAATAATAATAATAATAATAATATTAATGACAATAATTATATTAATAATATTGACAATTATATAATGAATAGATTAATATAGAAGTTTTACTAAACATATTTCAACAATTACTTCTAGAACGTGCGTATAATGAGAAAATAGCGTACAAATAATAATAATAATAATAATAATAATAATAATAATAATAATAATAATAATAATAACGTGATAAAAGACAATGAAATATCTTAAAAAATATAAACTTATTTATATTATACATAATATATGCATGTATACGTATTTACATGAAGAGTTAACATAACGTGCCATCGACTCAGTTTATCATACAAACGTGTATGTTAAAACTAAATAAGAAAAGATCGCTTAACGATGATGCTTGTGATGATAGAGGATAGAGTGTAGTAGCCGGCATTCGACAATTCGAAGTGCATTACATGAAAGAAAAAAAGCAAAAAATCTGCCGCTGCGACGATATATGCAAATTAATGTACAAAGTCGGAAAGTATCTCGAATATGACATTGACATTAAGAAAAATCGCTGCCCTCGAGACTGTAACTGTATAAAAGTGAGCAGTGAAAGTATGAAAACAAGAATAACAATGAACGCACAGTTAAATTACTCGATAAATATACAAACTATAGATAATATTGAGTAATTATAATTCAAGTCAGCTGTGCCTACCCTATGATCATTCCGTAATATTTTTAAATATTTTTCATACTGGGGACTACGTGTCAATTATTACATGTCTTACTTTATCAGCATTTTGAATTAAAAAATATACACAACACTAATCCCTAATATCATAATCAATTCACTTATATTATTAGCGCATAACCGAATGACTTTCATTATTTCCATATTGAGATAAATTTTCACGTCTCTACATTGTTATACAATGCCCAAAGATAGTACATCTTAATAATATTGTGTAACGATCTTGTAAGAGTGGCACTTTAACGTCATTTACAGCATTTATGTCTTACATAAAATTTCATATTTCTCTTGCTTGTGAAATTCAAATTTGTTATCAATGAACAAAAAGACAGAGAAAAAAGATTGATGAAATTTAAATTCAATATTTCTGCAGCATTCTGTGGATTTTTTCTAATTCCCGAAAG